TGGTCAAAGACTTACAACAAAGTATTATCCTTGGCACTCATTTCATTAATCTTCTCAAACCCTTTTCCGATCCTTGGCACTCCTTTCATTAATCTTCTCAAACCCTTTTCCGTTGATGACAATGGCCTTCATTTTCATAGTAATGGGTTCAAATATACTATCAAGTTTAACAATGCCCCTCATTTTCATAGTAATGGGTTCAAATATACTATCAAGTTTAACAATGCCCCTGAAGAAGCTTATCTTAATCTTGTCTCATCTTTATCTTATAAAGAAAAGTTCCTTCAAGACATTTCTGATGAGATTAAATTAGAAAAGATTGAAAAACAAATTAATGAAGAAAAATTTACTGAAAAGATAAAACTTTTCCAAGAAAAACTTGAAAAGGAAGTTTGTTCGGAGATCCCTCATGCTTTTTGGTTTAGAAAAAAACATGTTGTTAACCTCCCATATGAAAAAGATTTCTCTGAAAATAAAATCCCTACCAAAGCTCGTCCAATACAAATGAGTCAGAGGCTTTTAGAAATATGTAAGCAAGAGATTTCTGATCTACAAAAGAAAAACCTGATCAGACCCAGCTCTTCTCCTTGGAGTTGCGCAGTTTTTTATGTTGAGAATGCTGCAGAACTTGAAAGAGGAGTTTCTAGATTGGTTATCAATTATAAACCTCTTAACAAAGTCTTATAATGGATCTGATATCCTATACCGAATAAACAAGATCTAATGAAGAGATTACAAGGAACTAGATTATTTTCAAAGTTTGACATGAAATCAGGATTTTGGCAAGTACAAATTGCTGAAGAGGATCGCTATAAAACAGCTTTTACTGTCCCTTTCGGTCATTATGAGTGGAATGTTATGCCTTTTGGCTTAAAAAATGCTCCCTCTGAATTCCAGAAAATAATGAACGAAATTTTTAATCCCTACACCTCTTTCACCATTGTTTACATTGATGATGTTCTTGTTTTTTCTAAAGATATCGACCAACATTGGAAACATCTACATATCTTCTTTAAAATCATTAAAGATAATGGTTTAGTTGTCTCCGCTAGAAAAATAAAACTCTTTCAAACCAAAATACAATTTTTAGGATATTCTATTAACAAAGGTACTATTTCTCCTATCCAAAGAGTCATTGCCTTTGCTGATAAATTTCCTGATGAGATAAAAGACACTAAGCAATTACAAAGATTTCTAGGATGTCTTAATTATGTTTCTGATTTCTATAAAGACCTTGCATATGATAGAAAAATTCTTAGTGACAGGTTAAAAAAGGATTGTATCGAATGGACAGAAAGACATTCTGAAGCGGTCAAAAGGATAAAGGCTAAAGTAAAAACATTGCCTTGTTTATCTCTTCCAGATCCTACAGCTTTTAAAATAGTTGAAACAGATGCATCTGATTTTGGCTACGGGGGGATTCTTAAGCAAAGAGTTAACAATAAAGATGTTCTTGTAGCCTTTACTTCTGGTGCTTGGAATGACACTCGAAAAAATTATTCAACAATAAAAAAGGAAATGCTTGCTATTGTTCTTTCTATCAATAAATTTCAAAGCGATTTATTAAACCAAAAATTCTTACTCAGAATTGACTGCATGTCTGCCAAATACGTTATCAATAAAGATGTTCAAAACTTAGCATCTAAACAAATATTTGCTAGATGGCAAGCTATCCTTACTGTGTTTGATTTTGATATAGAGTTTATTAAGGGTGATAATAATAATCTGTAGGATCTGAAATAGATACACTAGAACACTAGAGGGGGGTGAATAGTGTTCTTTTAAAATTATTGCAAAGTAGATAATAAATTGCAAAGAAAAATGGCAATCTCAGAAATTTGCAAACACAAACACAAGGATTTTATACTGGTTCCACCAAGCCGGTGTACATCCAGTCCCCAAGCAAATCCCGCTTGAGAGTTTTCACTATGATTTTGAATAAACTTACAAAATCAAATGCAAACCTGACCAATTTGCAAGTTCCTGCAAATTGCAACACCAATTGACAAACTCCTTGTCAATTTGAACACCAATCTCTAACCCAAGAGACTAACCCTCTCACAACCGAGAGAAAACTTGTTGAAGAAGAACACAATGATCCTATAAGCCTTGAATGTGTAATAATGTGCAGCAGTGGCTTAGGATTCTTTTAATCTTTGTAAAATTGCCTAATTGATTTGTTTTTGATGAAAGTATATAGGCAATTTCAGAAACTCTTCTTTTTCAGAAAATCAGAATGTTTTTCACTTAGGAAATTGCTCAAGAATCAAAGCTTATGGGTATGTATGCATGTACAATTTTTCTGAACAAATAACCTATATATAGCCCTTGAAAAGACAAGTTTTTAAAGTTTAAAAACGTTTAAAAACGGCCAAAAACTGTCAGATATTCAAATTCTGAAAACTAAAAAACTATCTCTTGTAGTCGACTACTGTAGTCATTAGTCGACTACACTGAGTTCAGACAGACTCTGTGTTTTCGGAAAATGTTCTCAGTAGTCGACTATAATGATAATTAGTCGACTACACTGAGTTCAGACAGAAACTTGAAAACTTATATTTTTCTTCAGTAGTCGACTACTGTAGTCATTAGTCGACTACACTGTAAAAAGACAGAAACTTATGTTTCTGTCAAACATCTCAGTAGTCGACTATAATCTCTATTAGTCGACTATACTGTAAAAAGACAGAAACTTGTATTTGAGTTATATACATGAGTAATCGACTACTATCCTAATTAGTCGACTATTAAGATCAAAAATTCAGAAATAATGAGTTTTTATAATTAAGTTTTAACTATTATTCTAATGGTTAACATAGGGGATTTCTATAGTTAACCAACACACTAAGCCTGTGTTAGTGTGTTCTAAAAATGTGTGTGTGTGCGTGTGTGTGATCAAGGCTTGTACAAATATTCTAAGCAAAGAAAAATTCAAATACATTATCTTTTGTTCTTCATTTTCTTCACTTCAAAATGCCTTGATATTCACTTGCACTTGTACATATTCTGATATTGAAATCTGCATATGAAAGTTAGTGCACACAAAATATAAATTGTTATCATCAAAACATTATCATGGAGAAATGATATTCAACATTCTCCCCCTTTTTGATGATAACAAATAATTTATGCATCATATTAAATTTTAAAACATGTAATACTTACTCCCCCTGCATATATGCAAAGTTTTTAACATTCATAATAAAAAATATAAAACTTAACTATTTCTCCCCCTTTGTTATCAACAAAAAGAAGAAGAACCTAAACATAACATAATTTCGTCAACATGAGTTAACAAAATACTTATATGTTAAACACAAAACGAAGAAGAAATATTAGGTACGGGCTATTTGAAGAAGAAAAGAAGGATAGCAGGTGTTTCTCTTCTAAACTTGTTTGATTGTAATATTAACATGTACTGTTGTTAATTGAAATACTTATATGTTAAACACAAAACGAAGAAGAAATATTAGGTACGGGCTATTTGAAGAAGAAAAGAAGGATAGCAGGTGTTTCTCTTCTAAACTTGTTTGATTGTAATATTAACATGTACTGTTGTTAATTGATACACTATATAACTTTGTTGTATAAATGCCGAAATACTTATATGTTAAACACAAAACGAAGAAGAAATATTAGGTACGGGCTATTTGAAGAAGAAAAGAAGGATAGCAGGTGTTTCTCTTCTAAACTTGTTTGATTGTAATATTAACATGTACTGTTGTTAATTGATACACTATATAACTTTGTTGTATAAATGCCGAAAGTTGTTTGATTGTAGTAATTCATGTACTGTTGGTAATCGATACACTATATAACTTGTTGTATAAATGCCGAGTACGTTCTTGACGGAACATAGATAATTTGAGCAAACTAGCTAGCTTGTCTGTGTATTTTACCGTTCACAATGGAATATAGTATTGGTTACCTCTAATTCCTAAGAAGCCAACAATGATCATTTTCTTTTGTTAATTAAAATATTTGTTAAACCTTGTTACGCTCTTGATGGAATCTATCGTGCATAGAGTGTTAATGGATCTATCTCTTTATGATATCCATATTTCACATAAAGGTCTAAGGATTATTTCTTTTTGATTCTTTATTTGCAAGGGTTCTATCTCTTTGATTCTTTGGTTGCTTCGTAGTGCCTTCAGCTAAGATAACGATAACATTAATTTTTTAAGTTCACAGGATATGTATAAGCAAATACAGTTGTTACCATCAACTCATAATTATTTTTTATTACTTATTTATTATTTGTATTCTAAAGTTAAAACACCAGAAAGACCATTTGAAAACGTTAATGGCGTTTCCCTTATAATAGACCAGGAGTTTGATTCCAACTAATCACAAAAAGGCAGTCCAATAATTAATTGGTCAGCTAGAGAGAAATTATTGGAAAATAATTTCAAAAATAAATTCTATTTTTTGAAACTATTTAAGAATGATATTTCTCAATTTTTAGGGCTATTTGGTTAGCTAAAAAAATAAATTGCAACAAATGATGTAGCAACAAACATGCACGTAGCATTTGTTGTAAGAAATGAACTTCAAATTCATTATTTGGACATCTACAATTATACTATAGGAAATGTATTTTCGAGGCAACAAACTTGCATGTAACATTTGTTGTAAGAAATGAACTTCAAATTCATTATTTGGATATCTACAATTATACTATAGGAAATGTATTTTCGAGGCAAATTCAGTGTTTGGTTGAAAAGCAATTAGGGCAAAAACTACATAATTTTACTACATAAAGGAACTTGGAAGTAGATAATTTATTACTTTGATTTAATAAGATTTATTTTAATGAGGTGATATTATTTTTATTTTTAAAATTTTTTTAAAGCTTGCAGCAGCATTCTTCCAACGTGTTTTTTACAAGATGCAAAATCCATTTCAAAGTGGCAAACCAAATTCTTAATGGGACACTATTGGGCATATTAAAGTTTTGCCCCCCCCTCCAAATTTTCATGTTGGCTACGGTTAGGTGGGACTGGATCAAATAGTACCCAACTAAACTTACATCAACTCATAAGCTAATTTGTTAGTGACTGTATTATACAAATCACACCTGAAAAATGTTCACTGAGCTACATGCTTCCAGCGTCGCAAATCGACGTAAAAAAGTATGAAGACTGTAACATTACTTCCCTGAAACATAGATAACATAATATTACCCTTGCGATATTGGTAATATCCAATATCGATAACCAGTGAACTCAAAGTTCTCTCTCAGATCAAATGTGAGGTCAAACATCTACTGCTTGACATATAAGTAGAATACAAACGGAAAGGAGAGAGAATATCCTAACGCAGTCCAGAATCGATGAGATAAACCGCTCAGAAATGTGCTAAGCTGTATATTAGTATCCAGGCAAGCTGCAACAAAGAAGAACAAGAACTTCATTAGAACAATTGATTCAGTTTTATTGGATGCATATATACCACAAGAAAGCAAAATCTTTGCCGCGAGTCATTAAACCCAGTATACATTTATGGAATCTGAAATCAGTACGCTTAATTATAAATTAACAGGTTTATTGCAGACATGTGTTTTGTACTATGAGGGCATACCTTCTCTCACTTATATATCCTAAATTATTTTATTAGCACTTCCACCCCCTAAACTCCAGACAATATCATTTCTTTTGCTTAGTTGAGACGTCATGTAGGAATCACTTGACAATAAATTATCTTTAACCCTTATTCTTACTGGAGGGAAAAAGAATTTTTTTTTCCTCTAAATTAAATGCAAATATAACACCTTCATGAAGTTTAATGCACGTAAGTGCTAATAAAGTAGTTTACGTTGTATAATTAGCTGCTTCACCACATTACAGGTGTATCTGCAATTAACCTTAGTTTAATTACCTAAGATAATAGAGTTTATGAGAGGGTCGAGTGCTATAGAGTGACCAACTTCAGCGATAGAGCTATCTTGCTGAAGTTGGCAATTGAATCATCACCGGAAGCTGAAAAGATAAGGAGAACATAGATTACCAGAAAGAGGCTGAACGAAGCAAAGAGACCCTCTTGAAGCAATGCTACATGGCCTCCAAATTCTTCTTCATCGATCTTTAGCACATGTGCATAGTATCCATAAATTATGCCAGAAGACAGTACCAAAAACCTGAATGTATCGTAGCTAGTGTTGAGAAAGACAATGTCGCAATTCAAATAGTTTATAGATGCAGAACTTCATCTCATATAGTATGTGATATTTTAGATTTTATCTATCAATTGTTATTTAGTCCAATAGCATTCAGAAAAAATCCTGTAACATATACAACTGTTTGAGAAACAACCATGTTCCTATGGCTTATCTGGAGAAATGGGGTAAACATACTTAGAAACTGGATTATTTTTCTGATAAGCATTTTCCAATTTCTAGTTAACATAGAAGAATAGGGCAGTCACCAAAAAGTGGAAAAGATCTGTGATTCTAACCTGTATAAACTACTTAGCTGATTTTCACAGACTGTGTTAAACTAAGTAGACGATTAATTTCTCAGGTACAGCTGTAAAGCTTGCAGTGAAAATGTTATAGGTGGTGTAAACTACTAAAGCACAAAAAGGAAATTAGGGTTGGTGACCCTGTACTGACAAAAGCATAAGCCTGCAGATGTTATGTCTAGAACATAACCAAGCTCAAATTAATTCCGCTCAACTGGTAATGCCATATGCTAAGAAATAACAGAGGCAACGTTTTATGGCATGATTGTCAATGTGAAATCGATTCTTCTATTATTTATCATCACTACCTATATCATATATAGACAGGTGGTCCCTAAAGGAGCCCCACAAACATATGAACCCTAGATTTACGATACAAGTCAGTGGTGAACAGCTTATTTGCACTTAAAACTCTTTATGTTCTCACTAGTCAGCAGATACACAAATTTAATAAAGATTTACATTGTATATTATTCTTATAACTATATACGTATGTTTGCCTCATAAGTATGTATGTACATAATTAGCGATTTAAAATGGTGCTGAAGTAATGCTCTTTTTTGGCCACCAAACAACTCTCTTACAACTGTTTATGTTCTCACTAATCAGCAGATGCACCAATCTAATAGAGATTTAGCAACGTATCTTAATATTTTAAGTACATATGTACACCAGTAGTTTATTGCTCTTTTTCCTTTTAGCTATGGCTACTAAACGGAGACAGAACTGGAATCCACATCCGAGCCCAATCCATGCAAGCATTTGCTCTGAAATAACCACTAGAATCAGCACCAGATAAAAGGTTAAAAGTCCAAAACATGGAAAAGATTTGAATGTTAGACCAACTAAGCTGTATGATGATTCTTCAAGATGGTTAATTATACAGTAATATAACTTTTTACACATGATTTACTAGTTGTCAGGTTCTCTCTCCAACCCTTGACAAGTATCTAGTGGGCTCTTCTATCCTTTTTAAATCATAAACCTCAAACTTCACCTCATACTTGTCTTCAGAAGAAAATTCCTCAAATTTCCTCCCACATTCCCCTCCTTATGCCCAAATCCTCTTGCATGCTTCCTTTTAACACAATGCTCAAATTTAGTCAACAGATTGGAACTCTAATCCTTAAATTCTTTCTTTTTTTCAAGCACTCTAAACTTCACTATTACATAATTAGATTCTCATGATCATCCGAATTTAAGAGCAAAGGTGAATAAAGAATTTGGTCAAATGTAAAATCTGTATCCTTTTTCAACTAATTACAGCGTAAAATATTAAAAATAATACAAGGTTAAAGAAGCAGTTGTCTCTAGTTTCTATTAGGCCATACTTCAGGGATCTTTTTCTTTTTTCTAAAAAAAAGTGAAGCTATTTGTAGCTTCAGCCTCTCGATCAACAAGTAACAAGAGGAACACTCATCAGGATTAACAAGAAGTTCGTTTTGGGTTCTTCTAGGGTGATAGAGTGATTTTCCAGGAAAAAAAAATAATAGAATCCTAGTGTCTCTTGGGTATAAAACAAATTGCTGTCCATCCCTATATATGTGCTTCCTCTGTTTTCCTCACATAGCTGACTTGCAAAATACTTTTCCTCCCTGGATGTATAATTCAAACATGGTCTGTTAAAGATCTATCCTTCTTCGGCCCCACCATTTTATTTCCTTTTCTATGAGACCGTCTATAATCTCTCAGTAATGAAGCCATCAGCATGAAGTTATAAAAAAGCAGCTTCATTTGGGCTGTTTTTGGGGAAAATCACCTTTCACATATACATATAATGATCTTCATGTTAAACTAGTGACTAAAGTATGTGATTCTACAATCGACCAATTGTAGCCTCGAAGATGAATACCAGACAGCATACAAACCAAATCACCATATCACCAACCTAGACTCTTTCCTTGAACTAAGGAGCTCTGGGGACTTGGCTCCATGGTCGAATGAGGTTAAAGTACACAATGAAAATTCTACTTACATGCAAACTCACAGCAAAAGTCCTATACTATGAACTTCTCTTGCTTGTATTCAGCCTGTCTATGAATTCACCTCATGATTAGATTGATATTTTTCCGTTCTCGACATCGAGTTGTTGTAGATAGCCAACCTCATTTTGAAAATTAGAAAATTAAAAAATTAGCTCCACAGATATCAGCAGATATATGAGACATTATTCTTCTCCTTTTTTTTAGATCAAGCGTTAACTAAAAATATTTCATGCTGCTTCCTCAAATTTCCTCAAAGAAATTAATACAACAAACAACGAAACAACACCTTTGTCCTGCAGGAGTTGCAAAGAATAGTTTTGAAATGTAGACCTTACCAGATATACTAAGAACTATCCAGACAGTTGGTCTAGGCTCCAAAATATTCCATTGAAAGGTAGATTGTTCATTGCACATATAACTTTCCACAATCACAATCCTCAACACAATCAACATATCGTACTTTACTCCCTTTTGTCTCATCACAAAAATCACATGTGCAATGATTGCGTTTTTAAAATCAACCTCTTTTTCCCAAAGAAACCTGTTTTCACTAAGTAAATAAAAAGACCAAAAGTTCACTCTTGTAAAACAAGTCCCAACCATGAGATGCTGTGATAATACGCTGAGAATATTCCTGACAGAAATCCCAGAGAGAATAGATTAAAATTTGATCCTACAAGAGCAGTTCATATCCAAAGATGGCACAGTGGCACACTTTAATATCAACATGAAAATGGCCATCTTCAACATATATATCATGGACTCAAATTCTTGACTTGCCCGAGGTACTATGTTCTATATGTAAATAGAACTATTAATAAAAAAGAATTTGCACAAAAGATACTCCAAAGTTTCATCACTTTTACTTTAATATCTTCCATTACATCATTCTCCATAAATTTGCTTTGGCGGTGATATTGTTCAACAGGGGTGGTTTTGCTATAATATAATCTCAAATTCAAGTTATTTATGTTTGGGAAAGTGAAGAAATATATTAATTTTCCATAGATTTAGGGTTAAATAGCAGGAGGAAGAATGAAGGTTTATTTTTACTCTAGGGGGTACAAAAGTTCAAATATCAACATGTGATAATAATGAGATGCGTTTTAAGCAGAATTATGAACAACAACATAGCAGATAAATGTAAAGCTGGAGCAAATTTACACTTCAGCGTATCAAAAGTTCAAAGAGAGAAGTGTATTAAATTGCAATTAACACCAACAAGATAGAAACTTTAGCACATTGAAAGTGCAAGTAGCACTTAAAGATGGACAAATTTTCAAAACCAACCCCTTTCACTATTTTATTGCAGAAAACGACCTCTTTTCATTTTATTTAGAGAAACCGACCTGGTTTCAGCGCTGTCGCTGAAACCAGGTCGGTTTTTCAAAAAAAATTTACGAAACTTCACGGGAGTTCAACTCCCGTAAAGTTTAGTACGCTTTTAAACTTCACGGGAGTTGAACTCCCGTGAAGATTATTTTGCTGAATAAACTTCACGGGAGTTCAACTCCCGTGAAGTTGCAGGCTAAAATCACCAGCGAATCGCTCGCTGAGACATTGGCCTGCAGCTTCACGGGAGGCCAAAATTCCCAGCGAGCGATTCACTGGGGATTCTGGCCTGCAACTCCACGGGAATTGAACTTCCATGGAGTTTCGGCCTATATATACGGACGCGACAGCAGCTTGCCCATCTCGTTTCTCTCCCCGCAACCGCCCCATACCCTAACTTTCTCTCTCGTCCCAACCGCCGCCGTCCACATCAAAACCGACCGCCTCCCCCCAATTCCGACCGTCGGAACCCGACTCCAACCGCCAGAACCCCATTCCGATCGTCGGCACCTCATTCCGACCGTCGGAACCGTCGTCGTCGCCGGATTTCGACAGATTGAGGGTAAATTCCTCCCAAAATTATTTATTCTCTTAATTTCTTGTATTTTCTCGCTATTTCATGGTGATTACATCTAAAAAATTATATTTTAGAATTTAATTGTGAATTATTTATGAATTATGTGAAGAAACTTAAATAATTTTGTCGATTTAGAGGGTAAATTATCAATAATGTAAAAAATAGTGTTACTACATATGTATGACATCTAATTGATTTTAAAAAATAGTGTTATCAATAATTTTGTCGATTTTAGAATTTCATTGTGAATAATTTATGAAATTTGCTCAAAAAAATAACATAATTTTGTGAATTTTGTGGATTTGGAGGTGAAATTATAAAAAATCTAAAAATTAGTGTTATATGACATCAATTAAATTTGAGAATTTAATTATGAATTATTTATGAATTATGTGAAGAAAACTTAAATAATTTTGTCGATTTAGAGGGTTTATGAATTATGTGAAGAAAACTTAAATAATTTTGTCGATTTAGAGGGTAAATTATCAATAATGTAAAAAATAGTGTTACTACATATGTATGACATCGGTATATGAATTTGGAAAAAATTATGGTTCCCTAAAATTGATATAGGATTTAATTATAAGTAACAATAAAATTTTAAAGTCTTTTCGTGTAATATTGATCTTGAATGTTTTACTCTTCAGAGGTAATGATGAACGATCGAATCGTAATTTTGTGTTCGTATGATGGGAAGATTAACTACCTCAAAAATAATATGCCCGTTTATGAAGGAGGTGCGACGGGACCATTGTTTATAACAAAATCGTGTACTTTCGATGAGTTGGTTAATGAATTGCACAAACTTACATTAACCAACTCCCGTGAGTATCACCTTAATGTTATTTGCAATTATCCTGTTATGGAGAACAGGACAAGCGGCATTCAAATATCAAGTGACTATGATATGAGTCTCATTGGAGTCTTACATGATGAGAAGCGTTCGATCAAATTGTTCATTGAAAAACATCAAAGGAATTTGTGCAAATCGTTGAATTATGACGGAATGTATTCCCGTATGTTGGAGGATCCTGATGTTGATTCCGTTGGCTTTTTATCTCCTCAACAAGATGAAGGTTGGACACAATCACAATATATGAGCGGTCCTTCGTTTGTTGGCACTTCGAATACGGTCGATAATAACACGGGAGTTCAAGAAGATAATGCAAGTGTTGAATCTGAGAATGATGATGAAGAGGAGGGCTTACAAATTAATAGCATGACCTTGATAGATCGCGATGAAGGGGACAACCACCACATTGACGGGTGTTATGCTAATAATGAGTATGTTATCTTAGAGGATACGCCGCCCGATGAACTTTAAGGAGAAGAATGGATCGATAACTCCGTGATGGAAAGTGTTCCTATTGGCACTAATAGCGGTCATGATACACAGGGCGAGGACTTCTCATTCGTGAAGGGAGATCTATATGAGAGTAAGAAAAAATTGATCCATGCGCTTCGCTCGTATGCCATTACAAAAAATGTCAAGTTTAGGCCAACAAAAAATAACACAACAAGCTATAATGCGGTTTGTTTTTATCGCAAAGATGGTAAAGATGAAGATCTTGATGGACACTACGACGGGAATGCGAATTGTCCTTGGAAGCTTAATTCACGTTCGGGTGTAAGAGTAGGTGGGCATTTCAAAATCACGACGTACAACGGAGTCCACACATGTAACAATCCTCGATTGGAGATGAATAACAAGCATGCGTCCTCTTCTTTTATATATCGATTGATTTTACCGCATCTGAGGGAGGATCTTGATCTACGGTAAAAAGATATTCATCTTTTAGTGCATAAAGCGATCAACTTGGATGTATCATACAATAAGTGTTGAAATGTTAGGAGGAAGACGATGATAAAAATATTTAGGGATTGGGATAAATTTTATGAGATCTTACCGCATTATCTTGAAGCACTCAAAAGAGAAAATCCTGGGACTGTATATGAAGTTTCATCAGACCCTCTTGATGGCGAAGAACGACGATTTACAGGTGTATTTTGGGTATTTGGGCCTTGTATTGAGGATTTCCAATATTATCATCCTCTTCTTAGTATTGATGGCACCCACTTATACGGTAAGTACAAAGGCGTTTTGCTTGTTGCCACCGGAGTTGACGCGGATGACGGTTTGTTTCCTTTGACGTTTGCAGTGGTTGATATTGAAAACACAGAAAATTGGGCGTGGTTTTTTGCATGCATTAGGTATCATATCCCTAGTGTGGGGGCGCGGCCGATTACATTCATATCTGATAGGATGAAAGGAATTCCAAGAGCACTCCAACGTCATTTCCCATCACCACATGCACATCGTTATTGCTTGCGACATATTAGAGACAACTTCAAGAAGAAATATGAAAACGGTCAGGTTCAAGATCTTCTTTGGCAAGCCGGCTGTGCAACAGAAAAATTAGTTTATGATCAAATACGAGAGAGGATTAAGTTTATCTCTCGAGCTGCACATGATTGGATCGAAACTAGTTTGGGACCACACAATGTTGATAAGTGGGCTTTATGTGAAGATGGTGGGAGACGGTTCTGTATGATGACTACGAACGCTTCAGAGAGTTTCAAAGGCGTGCTCAGGGGAGCACGCGGTATGCCAATACAGTCACTAGTTGCTAAAACATTCTACAGACTTAATCGGTATGCCAATACAGTCACTAGTTGCTAAAACATTCTACAGACTTAATAACTTCTTTCTACGACGTCGCGAACTTGGTGAAAATATCCGCTCGGAGCTCACACCGAAAAATGATGAAATATTAGCGACTCGGATTGTGCAAGCTCGATCCTTTCATATCGTAAGATACAGTTTTAATGAATGGGAGGTCATTGAGGGAATATCACATAGAGAAAATCGCTCTTACAAAGTTAACATGTTAGTGATCACTCGTGTACGTGCACTTGCAATGTACCGCAATTACAATGGATTCCTTGTTCACATGTTGTCGCGGCTTGTTCTGATCTACAAGGTGGTGTGAGGATTTCGCATTATGAGTTCGTCACGGCTTGGTATTCTACTTACAACTATCGACAAACATACAATGAGTGTTTTCGTTCATCATATGATAGTCGATATTGGACACAAGATGGGCCACTGATATTACCTCCTTTGTGTAAAAGGTCGGCGGGGCGCCCTCGTTCCGTACGAATTAGAAATTGTATGGATGACGATCGTGAAGGAGTTAGGAGGAGAAATAAGTGTAGTAGATGCGATCAATTATAGCTCGATATGTAATCTTTTTGAGTATTGTTTGATTCGTGCGTGTTTAATTCATATATATATTGTAGTAATTATTGTCAACAGGTAAATAGTTGTATATATGAGTTAAATAAGTAAACGTATACAAAACATGCACAGCAGCCTGTGCATGTTTTGTAAAACCTGCAACTTCACGGGAGTTCAACTCCCGTGAAGTTGCAGTCTAAATTTCCCAGAGAGCGATTCTCTGGGAAATTTAGCCTGTAACTCCACGGGAGTTTAACTCCCGTGGAGTTTTAAACGCTGCAACAAACTCCACGGGAGTTGAACTCCCGTGGAGTTTATTCAGCAAAATAATCTTCACGGGAGTTCAACTCCCGTGAAGTTTAAAAGCGTACTAAACTTCACGGGAGTTGAACTCCCGTGAAGTTTCGTAATTTTTTTTTGAAAAACCGACCTGGTTTCAGCGACAGCGCTGAAACCAGGTCGGTTTCTCTAAATAAAATGAAAAGAGGTCGTTTTCTGTAATAAAATAGTGAAAGGGGTTGGTTTTGAAAATTTGTGCACTTAAAGATACAAGCTTCAGGTGTAGTTCTGATGATAGCTAATTTACGCTGATGAATTCTGCTGAACTTTAAATTCAGGCTAACTTCTGATCATATCACCATGAACTACTAATGATTCAACAATCACCCACAAAGACCAATTCTATCACTGAATCCATAAGCTAATAGAAAAAAAAAAAGAACTCACACAACAATCCAAATGGCGCCTACTACAGGGATCGCACCCCATAGCAATCCAAACAGAAGCCCCAGCGCCTGCCGTATCCAATGCAAAACATCGCATAACTGATTCTAAACCTCAAAAAAACAAGCAAAAAAAAACACTTATTAAACCCTAATTCGAGCATCAAAAACCCTAATTTCTCGCATTTTTCAGTACCTTATCCCATGGAGCATCAGGATCTAGCAACTTGGCGAGTTTAAAGGGGATCACGTGGCCATTCTTCTGCTGCTGCTGCTGCTGACGGTGATGATGATGATTAGGTTTCTGCAATTTGGACTTCTTCATGTCAACAGGCTGAGGATTGGGGATCGCGAGATCGCATTGGGCTAGGGTTTTGATGAGAGGAAGAAGATGAAGTTGAGGATTATTTTATTATATGTTTATTTTTAAGAGTCAGTGTTGGATCTGAGATTATTTCTGAAAGTAGTAGTTATTAGAAGTCAGATGATATCATGACGACAGAAAGATACAAAATTAAGTTAGGGGATCAGAGATTAATTATTAGCTAAGGGGCTGTTTGGTTGTATGTTTTTACCATGTAAAATGATGAAAAGTGTAAAAAAGTGGGTCCCAATGTCAGCTTTCATCACTTTCAATTGTTTGTTTGTAGTTGTGAAAATAGTGTAAAGTGATTTCATATGCTGATGTGGCTTGTAAAGTGATTTCATAAAAAAAAAGACATGATTTTAGGAGAAAACTGACATTGAAGTCAGGAAAAAATAATAAAAAATAATTCCAACCAATATGATCATTTGAATTGGGACCACTTTTTACACTTTCCAAACAAATAATTAAAGTTACATTTACAAAACAAACAAGCAATTTATGATTCCAATGGAATAAAAAACAAACAAAGAAAACTATAAAAGTAAAATTGATAAGGTGGACAACAACTTTCCAAGTTGTGTCATAAATACACAACTTTACCAACAACATCCAAACAGCCCCTAAATAGCAAATATGTTATGGTAAACATGAAGGGGTGCGAATAGATTAGATACACCTGCAAGTGAGATGTTCTCTTCCTATTGTATAATGAGCTGACATGACCAACTTATTATGCAATAGGGAGGGGTCATCTCACATATGCTCTCTATTGGTTCTATATTTTGGGTCATTAAGACATTTTTCTAAAAAAAAAAATCTATAGGACAATTATAAAACCAACAATATTTTTTGGGTTAGAGTGTTAGGCAATTAACAAACAAAATGTGCAAAAAATGAGTGTAGCAGAAATGAGAATGTTGCGATGGTATTGTGGGTATACACTAAAAGATAGGATAAGAAATGACCACATCCATAGTGAATTTGAGGTTGTTCATATTGAGGATAAAATGAGAGAGAATCGATTAAGATGGTTTGGCTATGTATGACGGAGACCTCTTGGTCTAATAATTAGAAAATGTGATAGTATTATAGTTAATGGGATTACGAGATCTAGATATAGACCTAAAAACTTAGTTGCAAGCAATTACTAAGGACGTGATTATGTTTAACTTAACAGAAGTGATGTCCCATGATAAAATAAAATGGATGAATATGATTCATGTAGCCGACCCCAAACATTTGGGATAAAGGTTTTGTTGTTGTTGTTGTAACCCAATTAAAGATAGAAATATGAATAAATAAGGAAAACTCATATTTACATTCGTCATAATTGGATACAAGTCAAGCAGTGATGTCAATTCTAACCCAAACCCATCTGCCAAATCATACCCACCTACTAAAATGGATCATCTAAACTCACCCATTTAGTTTAATGAGTCATAAATATGTGGATATTATTTCTATTAAAAATAAATGGGTCATTAATGGGTAGGCTTACACCTGTCCATTTGCCCATTTAGTTAGAGATTCTTTTAAAAAATTAAACATTGTGCCTAAGCCGCTTTAAGAACTCCCATGTGTTATGCTGCCACCTAAGCAGATAGAGAAAATAATTTTTCTTTATCTGTAAACTACCCTTACCCTTAACTTCTCATCTCCTCTTTCTTTTCTCATGAACCCATGAGAAAGTGTTTAATTCTTTTTTTTTTCTTTTCCTCAACCATTATCTCTTTCACAATTTCCTTTCTCATTGCGTTCTCCTTCTCTTTCTTCTCAATATTTCTCAATTATTATTTTTTCTCCGACATAGCCACTATTCAATCATTTTCCTCTTTCTTCAACCATATCTCCTCCTCCTCCTTCTATAAGCACTACTATATCATTTAAACTCTATCCTTTTTTACTTAAACGAATCATCTCTTAAAGTCACGCCGAAATTAACACTTAATAGTTAAAGTTAACACTCAATAGTTAAACTTAACACCTAACTTAAAAACTTTAGTGTTAAGTCTAACAATTAGATGTTACGTTTAACTGCTAGGTGTTATGTCTGAGAGATAGGAATTAAGTCTAACTATTAAGTAATAACTTTGGCGTGACTTAGGAGATGATTCGTTTAAGCAACACTAACGATTTTTTAGTGATGCTGCAGCTGTTGTGTGATAGAGGAGAATATAGGAAATGGGAGGAATGTGGAGATAAAATGAAGGAGGAGGGGAAAGAAAGATGAAGATGACGAAGAAAGCGAAGAATGTGAAGGAGGAGGGGAAAGAAAGATGAAGATGACGAAGAAAGCGAAGAATATGAATGAGGAATGACAAGAATAGAGTTAAGATGGAGGAGAGATGATAAAAGAGAATACCATTGGTATGAAGAATAGAGAAGGAGAGAGAATTTTGGGCAAAGAAGAGAGAAGAATAAAGGTAGGAAGATGAAGATAGATTGAAGAGGAAGGGAGGAAATATGATAGAAGAGAGAAGAAATCATAGAGGAAAACTGTCGACCTGAGGAGGGAAGAAAGAGAAGAGGAAGAAGATAAGGGCATTTTAGGGATAAGAAAGAAAAATAAGGTAGAAAAAAGAAAAGTTAAAAAAGAGTCTTAAACACATTTGATTTTTGTTAACGGGCTAGGTCATATGATGATTCTTAACTTGGAGCTTGGACATAACTTTTCTTTAAAAAAATGTTTTGAATAGAGTTAGAATTAAATTAACCCAAATAAAATGAATATCTACTCTAACCCCGAATAAATTTCAACGTAATAACAATTGCAAATAACACGCCCGCAAAATCCAAACTTAACCAAAAATTGCAAATAGTCCCAAAAATTCACAAATTGAGAAAAACACAGTAAAATATGAAAATTGCAAAAATATCCTTAAAATTTAAAAAAATACCTAAAAAACCTACAATTTCAAAATTTATAAAAGACACCCTCAAATTTACAAAAAAACAAACTAAAAATTTCAAAAGCTATAAAAAGCACCTTGAAATTTCAAAACTTACACTCAACACATAAAATCTTAAAATTACGAACAACCCTTGAAAATTTAAATTTGCAAATAACTCCCTCAAAGTTTAAAAAATTATAAAAACACCCTCAAAGTTTAAAAAATTGTAAAAAAGCATACAAAAATTTCAAAACCTACAAACAGCACATAAAATGTAGAAATTATTAGTGGCCCCTTAAAAATTTGAAATTTGCAAAAAACCATAAAGTTTCAAAAATTACAAAAGACACCCTTAAAATTTAAAAAATAGTAAAAACACCCTAAAAATTTTAAAAATTACAAAAACACCCTGAAATTTGAGTATTTACACTCAACGACTAAAATCTAGAAATGACCAACAGCTCCTAAAAATTTAAAATTTGCAAATAGCACCCTCAATAATTCAAAAAGTGCAAAAAACACCATCAAAGTTTCAAAAAAATGCAAAACACCCTAATAATTTTAAACTTACCCCCAAACACGTAAAATTTGAACTCTGTGAAATTATTTACTATAGGGTAGAAATGAGCAAAAATAACTAAAAATTGTGGGTTATAACTCATAAAATCGTGAATTTTTAGACTCCATGAAATTATTTGCCTATGGGATGCAACAACTAAAAATAACCAAAATTTGTGTATTATAACTCATGAAATTGTAGATTTTGACCCGAAATAAATAAAACTTACAAAAGATCTTAGGTCATATCTCATCAAATTGTGAACTTTGGTCTCCATAAAATTATTTCTTAATGGGTCAAAATGACTAAATATGGCCAAAAATCAGGTATTATAGCTCATGAAATTGTGAATTTTAGGCTCGGTAAAATTATTTGTCAATAGGTTGAGAAGACTAAAAATGGCCAACAATTATGGTTATACTTCATTAAATGGTGAATTTTGCCTCTACGAAATTATTGGCCAATAAGGATAAACAAATAACAAAATCGTAGGTTGTAGTTCATGAAATTATAAATTTTGGTCATTGTGAACTATTTATCATTGGTCTGAATGACTATAAATTTGTAAAAATAGTATGTTAATCTTTATGAAATTGTATATTTTTAACTCCTTGAAAAATATTTACCAATTGGTTGAAGGGATTGAGAATGGCCAAAAATCGTGTAATATAGTTCATAAAATTACAAATTTTGTAATCTAAAGAATTAATTACCATTGGGTAGAAATGACAAAAAAGTGCCAAAAAATATGGGTTATTTCTCATGAAACGTGAATTTTGGCCTCTGTAATGTATTTGCGGGTTGAAATGACAAAAATGGCTAAAAATCATTCGTTTTTAGCTCATAAAACCATAAATCTTAGCCTCCATGAAATTATTTACTAGTGAGTTGAAACAATTAAAAATGACAAAATATTGTACATTATAACTCATGAAATCATGAATTTCGGACCCAAAAAATATTTGCCAATGAGTAGAGACGACTAGAAATGGCTAAAATCATAGGATATAACTCATTAAACCGTGCATTTGGTCTCTACAAAATTATATATCAATGGGTCGAAATAATTAAAAATTACCAAAAGTCATGAGTTATGGCTCATGACATGATGAATTTTGTATTTCGTAAAATTATTTGTCAATGGAGTGAAACAAAAAAGGGCCAAAAATCATGGGTTATAACTCATGAAATCGTGAATACTAGCCTTCGTAAAATAGTTTACTAATGGTTTTGAGCGACTAAAAATTGCAAAAAAAATTAGGTTTAGTTTACAAAATTGTGAATTTTAAACTCTGTAAAAATGTTTGCCAATGGGTCTGAAATACTAAAAATTAGCAAAAATCGTAGATTTAGTTTATGAAATTGTGAATTTTGAATTTCACAAAATATTTTTCAAAGGGTTGAAAGGACTAAAAATGGCCAAAAATTAAGGAATATAGCTCATGAAATCTCAAAATTTGGAGTTTGCAAAATTATTTGCCTTTGGGTAGAAATAACAAAAAAGGCCAAAAATCATGGGTCATTACTCATGACATCGTGAATTTTTGGACACCAAAAAATTATTTGCCTATGGATCAAAATGACTAAAAATGACCAAAAATCATGCATTATAGCTCATGAAATTAAGAAGTTTAACTATCTAAAACT